GAGAACATTTGTGAAGGTGCGCTCGGCAGATGCCATGCTATTTGCACCAGTCTTTTCACTGTCCCGACTCCACATCTTCCTCCACTGAGCACAGCCGTCCCTTCTTCCCTCGGAGGATTCCTGACACTATTTCCACTCCATACCCTTTACTCACAAGTCAGCATTCAATGGCAGTTCACCAATCCGGCAGGAACCACAAGGGGGTTGATTTCTTTAATGTGAAAGGAAATTTATTTTTTTTGGTTATAATCGCCACTGTGGCGACTGGAGAGGGTTACTTTTTTCTTTGTGGCCTTTATATAACTTAATTTGGGGAGCACTGTGACACTGTCATTGCCACGTTTCCCCTCTTTACAGGGATTAGGTGGGGGACTTCCCTGGTGGCACAGTGGTTAAGAATCCACCTGCCAACGCAGGAGACACATATTCGAGCCCTGGTCTGGGAAGATCCCACATGCCGCGGAGTAACTAAGCCCGTGAGCCACAACTACTGAGTCTGCGCTCTAGAGCCCACGAGCCCCAACTACTGAGCCCATGTGCCACAACTACTGAAGCCCGTGCGCCTAGAGCCTGTGCTCCGCAACAAGAGAAGCCACCGCAATAAGAAGCCTACAAGGAAGAGCAGCCCCCGCTCGCTGCAACTAGAGAAAGCCAGCACGCAGCAACAAAGACCCAACACAGCCAAAAATAAATGAAATTTAAAATATATATTAAAAAAACAACTAAGTACATAGTCCACACCATCAAATGTCATAATTCCTCACTGTTGTGCCATAAGCCCAGCCAGCACCCCCCATTCTCTGTGCTGAGTGCTCTTACATTCTATACTGCAAGGTCTTAACTATATCCTTCACTCACTAACATTTGTGCTGTTAACTGCCTATTTTAAATTTGCTGAAAGGATAACTTGAAAAAAATTTTTTTATCAAATCAAACTCACCATTATACTTAACCTCAAAGAAAGCTCACCTCTGTGACAGGGTGATGGTTAAGATGCATCCCAAATTCAGGAATGTAAAAAACAATTCGCCTGAGAAAATATAAAATGTTTACACACATCAGTTCTTTATTGAAGAGGCAGTCCAGACCTATTTATATGTGCCAGATGCATTTATATATGGAGAACGGTAGGATGACAACATATGTAATGGCCCTGTCACCTTTTCAAATATTTACTGAAAATATACATTATACTAAGCTTTATGGTCAGTGTAGGAAATCTTAGCAGTTGCCATTAAAACTATTTCCTGCACAAAAATTATGCAAAATCTACCAGTTAATTCTTGTTATGCAGCATACTTATACACATCTAGAAAAATATGGCGAGAGTGCTGAGCGACAAAAATGGTAGACACTTGTGATTTTTAAAAACATTTTATGTAAGTGTAATATACATGCAGAAAAACACACAAAGCTTGAGTGCACAGAACACTCAGATATTCAGCACCTAGATTTAGAAACCAATTATTACCAGCACCAGATGAATGCTCCTTGTCAGCCTTGGCCAAGGCTAACCGCTATCCTGATTTCTAACTGCATAGCCAAGGTTTACCTGTTCTTATACTTTACCTGTTTGCTTCTGTGTCTAGATTCCTTCATTTAACATTCTTTGTGAAATTGAGCTGCTATTGCCTGTGCTTACTACCCATTCATTCTCCTTGCCTTAAGAGTGTTCTGTGGTGGAAACACACCACTGACGTTCAAAGTTCTACTGCATAGGTGCCTTGAGAGTTTTTTTTTTGAAGTTTTAGGTCATGAAAATTCTAGGACATGTCCCTTGGTGGACATATACATGCACAGTGGACACATTCATGCATGTCTGCTAGGTTTGGGTTTGTTAAAAGGGTACAAACACAGGTTTGGCTCTAAATGCCAGCTTTCCAAAATGGTTCTATCAATGGGCAATACCACCAGGAGTGTAGGCAAGTTCCTGTTACATTCTTGCCAAATCTTGCTTTTTCATGCTTTTCATTTTAACCATTTCAGAGGGTGGCAGTAGTGCCACACGGGGTTTTAAATCCGCCTTTTCCAAGATTATTAATAAAATTAACATACCTTTTCATATGTTTACTGGCCATGTGGATAGCCTCTTTTATGAAGTGGACGTCCAAGTCTTTTGCCCATTTTTGTTTTCCTTGTAGATTTGTAGGTGTTTTTATTTTAGATCGGGGTCAGCAACTATGGCCTGCTGGTCAAATCCTGTCCTCCACCAGTATCTGTGAATAAAGTCTTACTGGGACATAGCCACGTTCATTCGTTTTTGTCTTATTTATGGCTTTCACACTACGACAGCAAAGTTGAGTAGTCGTGAGTGAAACTGTGTAGCCCACAAAGCCCCCAATATTAATACTATCTGGCCCCTCACCAAAAACGTTTACCAAGCCCTCTTCTACACTCGATCCTGCTGCCACGTATTTGAATTGCAAATATCTTCTCCCCTCTGTGGTCTGCCTGTTCACTTTCTCAATGCTGGCTTTTTGAGAAACAGAAGTCCTTTAATGTAATATATTCAAATTAACAAGTTTTATTTTATGATTCAGTGCTTTTTGGGTCTTAAGAAAACTACTTGCTGTAAGGTTATAGTCTTCTTATAGCTTTATTATTTTACATTTCATACTTAAAACTGCACGCCACCTCAATTGATTTTTCTATTTTCTATTAAATTATGAAATTTAGATGATGACAGAGCATTTAGTGGAAAGAACATCCTTTCCCACATTACGATGCATTATTACCTTCACCAAAAGTCAGGTGACTGAATTACGTTTGGGTGTTTCCGGAATCTTTATTCTGTTCCACTGGTCAATTTGTTTATCTTTGTGCCATTACCACACTATCATAATTCCTATGGCTTTGTAACAGCTCTTGATATCTGGCACTATAAGTTCTCTAGTTCTGTCTATTCTAGAAGATAGCTTTGACTATTATTGGTCTTTTGAATTTTCACATGAATCTGAGAATTTTCATTTACAAAAACTTGCCAGGATTTTGATTAAGATTGCATTGAATATGTGAATTAATTTGGGGAAAAATGACATCTTTTTAAGATTGTCTTGGAATCCATGAACAGGATATATCCCTCTTACTGTTCTGTAATTTTTTTTCCCCCTGGATAAAATTCTTGAAAATACAGTGTTAGGTAATTTTCCCCCTAGGCACTTAAGAATTTCTGATATTACTGTAAGTGGCATTGTTTTAAAACTTTTCATTTTCTGTGTTTGTTGATGGTATATTAAAAACCAATTTTGCATAATGACCTTGTATGTGGGGATTCTGCTCAATTTACTCAGTTGTAATTACCTGAATATTCCCTAGAATTTCCTATGTATAAAAGCATGTTATCTGCAAATAAAAGTTTTACTTCTTCTGATCTTTAAGCCTTTTCATTCTTTTGCTTCCCTTACTTTCCTGGCTAGGTCCTTCTACACAATACTGAATAAAATTAGTCATAGCAGATAACCATGTCTCTTTTTTTGATCTTGGGAGAAAACTTTCAATATTTCACCATTTGATATGCTGTTTGTTGTAGTATAAGATACTCTTTAGCCAATAAAGGAAGTTCCTTTCTATCCATAGTTTGCTAAGAACACAAATGGATGTTGATTTCACCACATTTCCTGCATACTAGACTACTTTTCTTCAATGTGATATATTACAGTGATTGGTTTTTTTATTATTAAAATACCCTCACATTCCTGGAGTAAGATCCATTTGATCCTTGTTTTAGCTTTTTTCCAGAAATGGTCTGTTTTGCTAGCCTAGGATTTGGTCATGTGACCACTATAAACGAGTTACTTGGTGATCATAATGAAATTAGCATGACTGGTTTAGATTACTCAGGATTTACCCTCCGTGTCTTGTGAATAGTAGATACCTAAACTCTTCCAGCAAGTAAAGAGGAGAGGGAGGACACTGAGGTTAATCAACAAAAAATGTCTGCTAGAAGCTTGCATTAATTTGTTCCAAAATACTGGGACTAAGAGGCAGTGCACAAAATAATGACACCGTATTCATATCAAATAAAAGCACAGGTAAAATTTCTGAATTACAAAATAGTGGCATACTGCACACTCAAACCTATGGGTTAAAAAACAAGAGTGGTAGGAGAGCTGGGCCTATGTTATAGAGCATGAGCAGTACAGCCATCCTTCACTGAACAGACTAGATTCCAAATCATCTATGCATAGTTTATGAAAATAGTACTTTTAAGTCTTTTTTGCTCAAATGCAGTTGGAAACTTTACAAAAGTCACTGGTTCCTCTCCTGATGAAGCACTCATTAAAAACCATTTGTAAATGCCTCTAAAGAACAGAAAACTATGTATTTAACTATTCTATACCTATCAAATACCTCACCAACAATATATCCTATGTTAGTACATTTTGCCATCTTAATACTCAAATAAGAATACTGCCTTTTCACAAATTATTCAAATCCCAACTTGCATAGAGTTGCATAGAATTAATCACATTTTGGAAATGTGATAGAAACCGCCATATACATATTTAATGCTACGATCCTCATAATCAACTCCAGAAGATTTTAAAACTTCATTTTCTGCAATGAAGGTTTATTCAGAACTGATAGTTTCTGATATCATTCCTTAAAACATCTGATTTTACATCAGAAATATGGCTTTTAGTATAACAATTTCCAAGACAATGTATTTTCCACATTCATCACTTTTGACAGGTTTTGCCTTGGTATGATTTCCTGATATGTGAATACAATTGGAATCCAAAATAAATATTAAATATTTATAGAGTTTCACTCTTATATAAACTGTCTAGTGTCCAATGAGTTGTAGGGTCTTGCTGAAGGCTTTGCTTCTTGTTGCAGTTTTAGGGATTCTTCTCTATGAAAATTCAGATTTGAATAAATCTAACATCTAAATGCTTTTCCTCATTCAGAAACATGAACTCTCAGACAGTGATATCTGACTCCCAACTGACTTCCCATACTCATTATGTGCAGAGGGTTTTCTAAAATGAGATCTGACTTCAGAGGAGCATTCCCATGTCAAGTACGTTCATATTCCCTCTCCTGTGAATTCTCTGATGGCTATTGAAGGCTGACCTGTGGTGGAACTTTTTCCCACATTCATTACATTCATAGGGCTTCTCTCCTGAATGAGTTCTATAATGCACAGTGAGGTATGACTTCTGAGAAAAGACTTTCCCACATTCGTTACATTCATAGGGCTTCTCTCCTGAATGGCTTCTATAGTGTACGGTGAGGTTTGACATCCGAGAGAAAACTTTCCCGCACTTACTACATTCATAGGGCTTCTCTCCTGAATGAATTCTATGATGTATAGTGAGGTAAGACTTCTGAGAGAAGAACTTCCCACATTCATAACACTCGTAGGGTTTCTCTCCTGTGTGGACTCTTTGATGTCTAAAGAGGGACGAGTTATGGGAGAAGGTTTTCCCACATTCGTTACATCCGTAGGGCTTCTCTTCTGAATGACTTCTATAATGTATTGTATAGTATGACAGCTCAGAAAACAATTTCCCGCATATGTTACATTCATAGGACTTTTCCCCTTTGGGAAGTGACTGGTGCCCATCGAAGGCTGAATTTTCAAGTAAGGTTTTCCCACATTCACTACATTCATAGGGCTTCTCTCCTAAGTGAGTTGTGTGATGGTTGGTGAGATATGAGAACTTTCCACACTCACTACATCCGTGAGGTTTCTCATCTGTGTGTACTTTCCGATGTCTAATGAAGGCTGAGTTTAGATTGAAGGTTTTGCCACATTCATTGCATTCATAGGGCTTCTCTTCTAAATGACTTCTGTAATGGATAGTGAGGTATGACACCCGAGAAAAGAATTTCCCACATTCACTACACTGATAGGGTTTCTCTCCTGTGTGTGTTCTCTGATGTGTAATAAGGGTGGATTTTCGGTAGTAGGATTTTCCACATTCATTACACTTATAAAGTTTCTCTCCCGTGTGCGTTCTCTGATGGTCACTGAGGGCTGACTTGCGGGAGAAGGATTTGCCACATTCATTACATGGATACGGTCTCTCTCCTGAATGGTTTCTCTGGTGTAAGGTGAGATGTGTCTTTTGGCAGAAGGTTTTCCCACATTCATTACATTCATACGGTTTCTCTCCTGAGTGAGTCCTCAGGTGTTGAGTGAGGTGTAACTTCTGACAGAAGGTTTTTCCACACTCATTGCATTTATAGGGCTTCTCCTCTAAGTGTGATCTCCGATGTACAGTGAGGGTCCCTTTTTGGCTGAAGGATTTCCCACATACGTTACATTCGTAAGGTTTCTCTCCTGTGTGAGCCCTCTGGTGTATAATGAATTTTGACTTTTTACAGAAGGATTTTCCACACTCACTGCATTCAAAGGGCTTCAATTCCATCTGTGATCTCTGGTATACATTAAAACTTGACATCTGGATGAAGTCTGATCCAGAATCATTCCAATCATAGGGCTTCTCCCCCATATAAGCTCTCTTATGAGTTATGAAAACAGCTTCATTGTCTAAGGCTTCTGTGCATTCATTATATTCAAAGGGTTTCTCCAAAATACTAATTTTCTGAATACTTTCTTCATTTTGAGAAAAGGCTTCCCCATTTTGATGAAATTCATAGAGTTTCTCTCCATGAAATGTTTTCCCACATTCACTACACTCAACAGGTTTCTCTCTTGCATAGCTTCCATCACTAATAATTAATTCTGAAGTAGATCCCAAAGTCTTTCCACATGAGACACAATTATGAGACATTAGGTTTGAAGGAACAAGGCTTATTTCCATGTTATAAGTTTTATCAAATGCAACCTCTCTCTCCTTAGTCAGGGTTCTGCTGTTGATAGAAACAGCTTGCCTTGAACATTCGTCTTTATTTTCTTGGGCTCTCTCCATCAGGTCATCAACTTTCCAGACTTCTTCTAAAAAGGAATAAAATTAAACAAACCTTGTGAATCTGAACATACCAGTTATAGAATGGGAGCAGTACTCAAAGGCCTACTGTGGGCTTGACTCTGGCTTTAGGGTCAATCTCCACAAATAAAATTATCAGTGTATAATCCTCTTTCCCCCTTGATTTGTCATATAAGACAGACAGACAGACATGGGGGGTGAGGGAGGGATGGGGAAGGGATGAGAGCAGGACAGGACTTAGCAGTAGAAGAAAGAGTAAATTCACATTGAACACAAGTACCTTTGTTACTTTACAAATATGTTCAAAACTTTGGTAGGAAATGTGAAATAAACCCAAGAAATGATGAGCAGAGGACAAAGTCACTGAAGGGGTCCCAGATCGAGGCTGAAAACAGGAAGACTGAGAGCAAGTGGGATTCGTGGGAAAGCAAGAACAATTACTGGATGTATAATCCAAGGAAATATTCAAGTATGGATTATGTTTGGGAGAAACAGATCACAATGTATATTAAAACTATATAATATCACTTCATACCAAGATTAGCATGGTAACATGCTCACTAACCTAGACCCTTCCAAAATCTTTGCCTTTCTATTCTGCACATAAATCCAAATAAACATTCTAAATGCTCCAATTTCCTCATGTTTAGAGACAGTCCCACAACCAGGGCTCCAACTCCCTTGCCCTGACTTACACTGACCTATAAGGAGAGACACAGGCACATAAATGTCTGAAAGAAACCTAAGTAGACCAATCTCTCCAGTAAGATCAGCTCTCTGGAGAGTCCTGTGGTCTCCTTTAACACTAAGTGACTTGTCTACAACACAGTGCACAGTGGCTACAAGCACTGGGAGCCCAACTCCAATGCGTCATAGGCTGGGGGACCTGGGCAAGTTACTTAACTGTGATGCAGTTTTGCTCACCTGAAATGTGGACAAGAGCTCTTAACACATAGGGCTGGGCAAAGACTATTGATACATTAGTTAGCACATGTTAATGCTTAGAACAGTGACACAAAACAAATGCTCAGTAAGTTTTTCCATGAATTTTCTTTCAATCTGCTGACTTAAATTTACCAAAACCAGTCATGTTCCTGACATAATACTATAGCTTAAGTCTGAATACAAACAAGAGTTCCCATACTCTCAGGTTTCATTTGGTGTAAAATCTTCAATATCAGATTTCTAAAGTAGCCCCTACAATATCAACTTTTATTTCCATGTATTTTACATGTTTTTGGATCTTCTGAACTATGTTTAGTTGCTCTCATCTACATTCAACAAAACACTGACAGTTCTGGGCTCAGAAATCTACAACATCCTTGTGCCCAAATACCAGCAGAAAAAAAAAAGTTATCCTTTACCAGTAAAATTTTCATTACCTAGATTCACAATATATATTCAAACTTGCATTGCACTCATCTTCCAAAAACACCTTCTGCTCCAGGAAGCCTGGGCACTGCCCTGCTCACACCCAACCACAAGTCTGCACATGCTCTTGTTCACTCAACCTGACTTCCAGCCTGGTATGTACTCAAAACCTAGCTATGTTTCAGGAGAAGCCTTTAATTTATTTATAAAGTCTCTTTCCAACTTTTTGAAGCTCTCCTTCCCTTAAATTTTAAAATAGCCTTAACACAAAGTTATATATCATGTATTTGATTATGAACATTCCATTTGAAAGCTAATTTTAAACTAGTTCATGCAGCTGTGCTCTCCTTTCCTAACTCAAACCTCTGCTAGTCAAAAGTATGACCACACTTGCTATTTTTTTTTTAATCTGTCCAATAGAAATTAAAGTAGTAGTTTCTAATCTGAATCAAATGGGGTGCTTTCAGGTTAGACTCTAACCCCCAGCTGTTTTTTCAGAATCCACAGTTCAGAATAAATTCTCTCTCAAAAGAAGCTCCTCAGTGAGCAAATGAAAAATCTACTGAGTATCTTCTACATGTTACACAGAAAAGCAGAGTACTAAGACCCTTCCTTTTTGTAGGGTTATAATTCAGGTAGAGAAAGGAGCTTAAGCGACAAACACTTGCCATTACACATCAGAGTGCACAATCCTGTGCTAACAACCACTACGTGGAGGGGACGTGAAGAGAAGGGAAAGATTGGATGAAGAGCGAGAAATGAAGGAAACTTCAAGCAGGAGCTGAACTTTCAAGGTCCAATTTAAAGGATAAAGTTCTAGAGATTCTGTTGGACAACAATGTGAATACAGTTAACACCACTGAACTGTTCACTTAAAAATGGTTAAAATGGTAAATTTTATGTTTTTTTTTTTTGTTTTTTGTTTCCAAACTACAACTAAGGAAGGAAAGAAGGGAGAACAGAGGGAAAGAAGATGTATCATCTGGGCGAGCAGAGGGACAACGATAGTTTGAATGGAAGACATTTAGAAATCTAGACAAAATGGCATTTGACAAGAGTTGGGGAAAACAGGACATTCATTTTGATATGCAACATTGCACCACACTGTGGGGGATTGAGGAGAATTTAAATTCTACTTAAGAAGAAACAGAATAGTTATAGGCTTATCTTCTGAGCCTAGTGATAAAATCAATTGGATGTTTCAAATGAATAGATTTTGCAATTTCCAAATAGGATTCACTGTAATCCAGGTACGTAGGAGAAAATACTGTTTACACCAATGTCAAAAGAAACTGAGAATATGCAGAAAAATTTTAAGGCATTTCATAAAAGACAAAAAACAGGAACAAGGCAGAAAAGACAAGTACAACGTAATAAATTAAGGGACTTGGGGAAGATGCACAGAATTCGTGGTTTGGAAAGGTCAGTTTATCATCAGATGTGCTAAGGAAGAAGGAAGTGGACGATCCTTCCTGTGCTATTGTTCTCAGGTGAGAGTTAAAGAGGCTACAGGTTACAGATGTTAGTTATCAATTTGGATGAGCAACATAAATAAAAAAGTCTTCAAAGTTGAGGTTAGATGAACCCTTTTATGGGATACAAAGAAGACTAAAGAAGTGCAAGACAGGTGCTAGGGGCTCCTGAGGAGGCCAGAGAAGAATGAGAATTCACTGATGAAATAAACTCTTCCTGAACACCTGCTGCCGACACAGGGATGGGCAGACAGACGGGACAGGAAGGAGCACTTGGGAAAGAGGATGGCCCAACTCGTGCTGTGTCACCGAGGATGGGCTTCAGGGACAGTGACCAGTGCACCCATGGTGAGGAGGGGCCGACCCACAAGCGTAGGGAGGGGACCACGCTGGCTGTCTGAGGGCCTAGAGGGGGGCGTGAAACTGGGGTGTAACACAAGCCGGAGGCGTTTCACAGAAAGGAAGGAAAGAAAATGGAAGATAAAAAGAATGACCAGGGAAGTCTCCAGTTAACTTTTCTGTCAGACTTTTGAGTGCCTGAAAACAAAGGAATTCTGTGATAATAGGGAGGTTAGTCACAGACAGTACAAGAGGAAGAGGGAGTGAATGCACCCTCAGTCCTAGAAGACACAGAAATCCTGTAAAATGTAAGCCTACTGCAAAATCAGAAAGGGAGCGTGCACATACATGGTGGAGGGCAAGTGCTATTGGTGCCAGGAGGTGAGATTTAGGGCATATGTGGTCACTCCAGAGGACCAGAGTGACCATTTACAAATTCACACTCCACCACCTCACCTGGGTGAAATTGCCGTGGAAACTCGCCATCTGCTACCCAAGGCTCCTCTCCCTGCTCCAACTTGAGGATCACGTTTGGTTTGGTGCTGTCGTACCCTGTGGATGAGAAAAAGCCAACTTGGACCTGCTGCTTGGCTCTGGGTCTCTGACTAGAAGGTGCTGCCTCAGAGGCCACAAAATAAAGCGTCTATTTTGCACCTAATCAAAATCAGAACCTTTTGATCGATAAGCAAATAAAAAAATACTTTATCTGGTGCCCAGAAAAAATTAAACAGTCTCATCACTGATTTCTTCAAAGTCAAGCATAAAATCCTTAAACTGGAAGCCCCCGCAGAGAAGCAACTCAGAAAGCAGGCTCTCCTCACCCACGGAGACCAGATGGCTGTAGTTCTCCAGCATCACATCCCTGTAGGTTGTCTTCTCATCAGGGTCCAGCTGCTGCCACTCCTCCTGAGTGAAGTCCACGGCCACGTCCGTGAATGACACTGGCCCCTGCAATGGCACCGTGATGGGAACTGGGTGACGTGGAGAAGACTTATGGGGACAAGAGCTCACCCAGCTCACCGGGAAAGTCAACTACGGACCCTGAAAACCTCATTGTTGTTACAGATCGTGGAAGAAAAACAAGCCATATTAGAAACACACTGCCTTTGGGTTCCTTAATGTGTCAAACAAACGAACCAGCCAAAAAACCTCTCAAACCAAAAAAAAAGAGCTCCAATTTTGCAACTGAAGTATCTGAGTTCTGGGGACATAAGTTAATGAACCACCACTCCTGCTCTCACTCAAAGAGCTTACAGCCCGGCGAGGAGACACTGGCTAAGTGAACACAGACATTTCTCTCCTTGTCACTCTCTTCAGCAGCCTCTGCTGGCTGGGCGCCCTCCCCCTACCTCCTCATGCTGGCACGGCCCAGGACTCGGGCCATCCCGGTTCAACTCTTTCATCCTCTGGCCCCTCCATTCTTACAGCCAGCTACCTGGAGCCATCTGCTTGGCTAAGTTTTCTAGTACTTTCTTCAAGCGGTATCTCAAACATCTCATTGTGGCAGCAATGAAAATCTGTTGCTTGAAAGAGTGCCCGAGGTATTATCAGAGTGACACATACAAGGTGGAGCATGGTCTAACATGAGAGAAGTAAACTATTTTAATTTTATGTTGGCAGACTAGGCTCCGCAGGCTCAGCTGGGTGTTCTACAGGATTCAGGGGAAAGAAGAGGATGCAGTGTAAAAAGTACCCATGGCAAAACCTGCAGCAGCACCAATATTTAAGAGGTTGGCACAGGGCAGAGACCAAGAAGGCACTTTCTCGAGGGCAGCTTTTGGACAGGAAGAGTTGCCTCTAATTCAAGAGAGTAAACAAACATATGCAAGTATTGGGTTGGCCAAAATGTTCGTTCAGGAAACCCAAACAAACATTTTTGCCAACCCAATACTTTCCTGTCTCAAAAACAAGACAAAACCCCAAAAAGCCCAATTCAAAGAAATATAAAAGAGTGTTCTCATAAGAGCACTGGAACATGGAAGTTACCAACAGCAGGCATGTTTTTGAGGAAATTCTTGATTTACCGAGTAGAGCAGATGAGAAACCAGGACCACGGAACACACTCACACAGGGGCAGAGGCGGGACTGCAGCAAAAGTGACAGCAGGCTCACCACCAGAGTCCTGAAAAACCTCCAGGCCCATCAAGAGGGCCTAGGGTTTCTGCAGCAGTAGAGTGACTGGTTGACAGAGGAATGACTCACACAATCAACCAAGCAGCTTGAGAGGCTTCCTTTTCTCATTCCACAGAGCAGCCAGATCCACTTAGACTGTGTTGACAGCGGCTCAGGGGCCAGAGATGGAGCCGGGACCCCTGCAATGAGGGTGATCACACACTCACTGTCCAAACGGAAAACTGCTGTCTGGGACAAAGGATAAACCTGACAGGACACCAGGAAAGGAGGTGCAACCCAAGACTATGTCAGGCACGTCTGGACAAAAAGCCAACTGTTTCCATGTTGGACATGGACGTTTCTTCTAAAGCCACTCTTAGAAGACTACTCTCACCATAAAGCACCTGAGCAACTTAACCTTGTCTGCCAACTTGCCACCAGTTCAAAATGCAGTGGTGCCCACAGGTTCTGTGCATCAGAAGACACAGTTGACAAGGAATAAGGGAGATCATGGAATGGGAGAAAATATTTGCAAATCACGTATCTGCTAAGGGGTCGGTATCTAGAATATATAAAAGAAAACCATAAACAAGATGAAAAGACAACCCTCAGAATGGGAGAAAATATTTGCAAATGAAGCAACTGACAAGGGATTAAAAGCAGCTCATGCAGTTCAATATCAAAAAAACAAAAAACCCAATCAAAAAATGGCTGGAAGAACACATGAAAACATGCTCAACATCACTAATTATTAGAGAAATGCAAGTCAAAACTACAATGAGGTATCACCTCACACCAGTCAGAATGGCCATCATCAAAAAATCTACAAACAATAAATGTTGGAGGGCTTCCCTGGTGGCGCAGTGGTTAAGAATCCGCCTGTCAATGTAGGGGACACAGGTTCGAGCCCTGGGCCGGGAAGATCCCACATGCTGCAGAGCAACTAAGCCCATGCGCCACAACTACTGAGCCTGCACTCTAGAGCTCACAACCCACAACTACAGAATCCCGTGCACCTAGAGCCCGTGCTCTGCAAGAGAAGCTACTGCAACCAAGAATAGCCCCCATTCACCGCAACTAGAGAAAGCCTGCACACAGCAATGAAGACCCAATGCAGACAAAAATAAATAATAGAATAAATTAAAACAAAAAACAAAAAACAATAAATGCTGGAGAGGGTGTGGAGAAAAAGGAACCCTCTTACACTGTTGGTGGGAATGTAAATTGATACAGACACTATGGAGAACAGTATGGAGGTTCCTTAAAAACTAAAAATAGAACTACCATATAACCCAGCAATCCCACTCCTGGGCATATACCTGGAGAAAACCATAATTCAAAAAGATACATGCACCCCAATGTTCATTGCAGCACTATTTACAACAACCAGGACATGGAAGTAACTTAAATGTCCATCAACAGAGGAACGGATAAAGAAGATGTGGTACATATATACAATGGAATATTACTCAGCCATAAAAAGGAAAAAAATTGTGCCATTTGCAGAGACGTGGATGGACCTAGAGACTGCCAGACAGAGTGAAGTCAGAAAGAGAAAAACAAATATCATATGATATCACTTATATGTGGAATCTAGAAAAATGATACAGATGAACTTATTTGCAAAGCAGAAATAGAGACACAGATGTAAAGAATGTATGGATACCAAGGGGGTAGGGGGAGATAGGATGAATTGGGAGATTGGGATTGACATATATACACTACTATGTATAAAACATATAACTAATGAGAACCTACTGTATATCACAGGGAACTCTACTCAACTCTCTGTGGTAACCTAAATGGGAAGGAAATCCAAAAAATGGCACATATGTATACATATAGCTGATTCACTTTGCTGTACAGCAGAAACTAACACAACACTGTAAATTTATACTCCAATAAAAATTAATTAAAAAATATTTAGAATATACAGAGAACTCCTAAAACTCAACAACAAAAACATCAGTTTTAAAACAAAGTGAAATAAATAAAATAAAATTTTGAAAAATGGGCAAAGCACTTGAATAGATATTTCTCCAAATAAGTTTTACAAATGACCAATAAGCATATGAAAAAGATGTTGAACATTACTAATAATTAGGGAAATGAAAATCAAAACTATGAGATACCACCTCATACCCATTAGGATGGCTACTATCAAAAAACCGAGAAAATTACAAGTGTTGGAGAAATTGGAACCCTTGTGCACTGTTAGTGAAAATGTAAAATGGTGCAGCTGCTGTGGAAAACAGCATGGTGGTTCCTCAAAAAATGAAAAACAGAATTAACATATGATCCAGCAATTCCACTTCTGGGTCTATACCCCCCAAAAATGAAAGCAAAGACTTAAAGAGGTATCTGTATACCTAGGTTCACAGCAGCATTATTCACAATAGCTAAAATGTGGGAATAACCCAAGTGTCCATCGATGGACAAACGGTTAACAAAATGTAATATACATACACAGTGGAGTATGATTCAGCCTTAAAAAGGCAGGAAATTCTGACATCTGCTACCATATGAATGAACTTTAAGGACATTAAGCGGAGTGAAATGAGCTTAATGGAAGGACAAATACTGTAGGATTCCGCTTAGATGAGGTATTTAGTCAAAATACTAGAGACAGAGAGTAAAATGGTGGTTGCCATGGGCTGGGGAGGGAGAAATGGGAAGTTACTGTTTACTGGGGGCAGAGTGTCAGTTCTGGAAGACGAGAAACACTCTCGAGGTGGATGGTGGTGATGACTGCATAACATTATGAATGGCCTTAATACCACTCTACTGTACACTTAAAAATGGTTAGGATGGGTGGGAGGCAGACGCAAAAGGGAGGAGATATGGGGATATACGTATACGTATAGCTGATTCATTTTGTTATAAAGCAGAAACTAACACACCCTTGCAAATCAATTATACTGCAATAAAGATGTTAACAAAAAAAAGGTTAGGATACTAAATTTATGTTATGTGTATTTTACCACAATAAAAAAAAGTGGAAGGAAAAAAAATGCAGTGATGCCTCTCTAATTACACACCCTTACCCACTCCCTTCCAGAGCTTCTGCAACCATCCCCTCCACAAAGGAAAGAGGAATGAAATGGGGTCATGGGTTGAGTATGTTCACATTAGTTATTAGTAATTCTCTCAAAAAGTGAAATTAAAAAATTAAGAATCATCAGCTAATTGAGAAAACAACATAAATAAAGGATAAGCATCAGGATGAACAACTCAACAATGACTGAACCAAATTCACAAAGGAAACAACTTGCATTTGTGTCTACTGATTTATATTTTTTAATAAATTAAGCAGGATATTGCTTCCAGAAAATGAGAACATTCTGCTAAGAAAAAGCCACTGGAGAATACTTAGAAATTAAAGACTGGATTGTTGAATTTTTAAAAAATCCTCAAGTAAGAAGCTTGAATAATAAATGGGACATAGAATAGATAACTTAGGAAATCTCTCTGAAAACAAGAAATTGAAATGATGAAATTTTGAGATATTGAAGCCAGATCCAACAGATTCAACATTTTCAGAAAGAGATTATAGACGATGAACAAAAAATCATCAAAGGCAGAATGGAAAATGATTCCTGAGGTGAAGATCATAAATAAACAAACAAAACAAAACAAAACATCATCAAAAGGGGCCATATAATCTGCAAAGAAAAATACAGGGGAAACAAACAGATCAAGAAATTTCCTGATAAAACATCCAAAATTTAAAAATTAGAGGGAACTCCCTGGTGGTCCAGTGGTTGGGACTTGGCGCTTTTGCTACAGGGGCCTGGGTTCAATCCCTGGTTGGGGAGCTGGCATCTCACAAGCTGCAC